TTTGACCTCAAAAAGTTCCTTAGCAAATGAGAATGTCTTTGGTCGATGCAACGCCTCAAACGCCACATTTTTAATTATTCAAGCAGTATAGAATAGCGAAGAATATTCAAAATTGAAACAAAGAATGTTTATTATTAGATTTTCCAGACACGGACTTTGTTTCAAAAACTATACGCCTACAAGAAATTGCAGTATGAATGTCCGAAAGTTAAATGAAAAGAGAAGCTCTAGAATTTTTTTATTCCCCCAGTTAGCTTGAGTTTTCATCTTTCCAAGGGACTAGAATTAAAACAGCGCAAAGGTTTTTCCAAACTGCTCCAATCAAGTGAGTCCAGAATTTGGAACCTAAAATAATCAAGCCCTCCCGCCTGCAAACGCGATTCACACTTTGCGAATTACCAAGTATGCAGCAGCGTAAAGTTCAAAGTTTCTTTGCTCTGAAGCTCTTCCGAGCGAAACAGTTAAATAGGGTGCGCAATTTAGCCTTGGCAGGAAAATCACTTTGATGTTGGTTGAGATTGAAATTGCAGGTTGTTCGCCAAGGTGGTCAATGGCTATATGACGACTGCTCTCGTCATTTTGGGCACTATTGGAAATATACACGGAGTGAAACGAGTTCAGGTGACGAATCTTGACAAGGTACTCACGCGATTTCAACATTCACGCTAATCCTAAATGTTCTAAACCTGGAATTTTCTTCTGTTTTCAAGAAGAAAGTTCACAGAATGCAATTTATAGCACCAATTATCTAATTTTTCGCCCTATTTCTTCAAAATTCATACTTTTAGAGACGAGGAATCGTACTAGCCGTCTCGCTGATAGCGCTCGCCATTTGGGATACAATTCTTCTATGGTGTGCCTTCTTCTATTATGCGATTCGGAAGTTACCGATCGCAGTCAGCACTGACTGGCTGAATATACTGATGCCATGGTTTCACCCGTTCTCCAATATTGCCAACACTGCAGCGGTAAATGATTGCTACTCATTCGACTACTCCTATTGCATCTACAACATAACTGATTGTAAGCTAATCCGCACAAAGATGCAAAGTAGTAATGAGCAGTTCTTTGAAAGAAAAACAGATAAACTTTTGGTATAGGTAAGAGTAATCAAAGGTATTAGGGTCAACATATTATCTAGCACTTATCTCGTGCAGAAAACTTGCTTTGCCTTCAATGATTACACATTTTGTGCGTAATAAGAATAATTTACTCTTTAAGACTTGGTGTGTTGTTGCGATCACATGGCAACGGTTCATGGCCACAAGGGACCCATTTCGTACGCCGAGGTCAGTCGC